AAAATGGAAAAAGTCTCTCCTCCCTCCATAGCAAAATTTCAGTCTCTCTTCCCTCCCAATGCTCATGTTTCTAGCTGTGCTGATCCTTAGTTAGGTATTTTTTTTCAGATGTGCATGTTGTCATGTTAGACACACGTGAACTAGTACCTTTACTCAAAACCACATTTTTTTTCTATCCCCAGGTAAAAATCTTGTGTTGAATCCAGTTGTTGGACGAAGCAAATTAGATTAATGTGCTTTGTGACCAGCCAGGGCAGGTCTCCACTCCTCATTTTGTTATGCTTTGTACTGGTTAAGATACCACCTTTGCAAATGTCCTCCTCAGACTGGAGACCTGCCCCCTTCTCTTGTGCTTCCTGGGAATGGCTCATCTGCTGACTTTTCCACCTGTCCCAGCATATGGTTGCTCCCATTTATCATAATTCAGGTCCATGTTGCCACTGACACGGGCTGATAAAAATACTTCATGCAGAAATGTCATTTGAGCAGATGATTTGATAGCTCTGTTACCAAGCGAATGCTAATTTTTTACCAAGCATGCTGTGAATTCAGTTTGTAAGTGGTAGGTTATTAGTGAAACTAATTTTAGTAAAGCATTTCTTATCAGAGCAGATTTACTTACTAAGTAAATTGTAAAAATGAACTGTGTAATGCACTTATTGAGGAACCAAGAGGGTTAACTCATTAAATTCTTAAATAATTGCAAAACAGCATTAATGAAAATGAGTTCTGATTAATTTTGCAGGGGGTACAGCATGGACTAGTAATGCAAAAACAATAATTTGAAATATACTTTAGCAAGACATCAATATTTAAAGGCACACTGCCATGTGCTGGCTTTCTGAATAGATTTCAGTGATCTTCAAGCTACTAAATGTGGCAGAAGCTACTTCCTTTGAGAGTAGCATTAATCCCAGTCTTGGTGTATTGCCCTCAAAGTTGTGTTTCACCAGTGAATGAGGCTTTGCTGTTGAGGAGGGAAGGACTGGTGTTACTGGAGTCTGCAGCTTGGCAGTTAACCAGTGCTTGGCAAAGACTGGGGAAGTGGGAGAGAGAAGATTGAGACACTTTGCAGCTGTCTCATGGAAGATGGAGAAACGGGAGAAGGCAATTCTGGATCTTAGGGAGGTTCTGAAAGACAGCAAGAAAGTAGACACAGAGGATGACCCCTTAGTGAAGGAGGTGGAAAGAGAAGCCGGGCAGTTCAGAGAGCTCAGAGAAAAGCAGCTCATTGTGGTGAACCTCTAAATGAGGAGGTACAAGGGCAGCTGCTGAGTTAATGAGCAAACATGAGTGCAGAAAGCATGCCCTAGCAAAGCTGCACTGTCCTGCATCTCCCTCCCTTTTTGGCACCCTCCTCTGTTCACAGTAGCCTCAAGGGTCACCAGCCCTGGTGTTCCAGTGGTTGAAGGCCTCTCAGCAGGACGAGAACATGATGCTGTGGTTTCTCCTCTTGTGGGAGCAAAATCTGCTGCTTTGGGAGCTCAGTTCCTTTTGATCCCTTAACTCAAGTGCCTCGTTGGGGCTGCTGCATTCCAGCTCCCAAATTCCTGAGCAGTCACTAAAAGGAGAAGCCAAACACAGTTATTGAGAAGTTAATTACACAGAACCCAAAGCTCAGTGATTCTAAGAGATGTTCCTTTTACTTGTTTTAGTCCTTGATTGTTTGCACTCCTAGGCAGATAAAGGGAACTTTTATATTCAAACATAAGCCATAGAAGATGTTATTGAACAGTTGGTGAAATTAACTTCTCTCTTCTATTTAAAATCAGTCGTGGTATTTACAGCTTCGAACTGAAAAACCCCAGCAGAGCATGATGGAGTGCTAGCACATCTCTGCCCAGAGACCATGGCAAGCAACCACCTGTCTCCTGCAATGTTTGTAATTTCTTCTGGCTTTTCCTTAAAGAGATTGGAGAAAGAAGAGAAAACAATCCCCCTCCCCAAAAACAAGCCCAGCATGATGATTGCCTTGTGGGTGGATGTGTTTGTAGGTCGAGGGCAGACTGTGTGATCCTGCATCCCCGCCCATGGTGAAGCTCCTTTTCCCTTTGCTCTTCCAGGTGCTCCAGGCAAAACCTGCAGCAGGATTCAGGGCAGCCCCTGTTTGGCTGCCAGGACTCCCCTGCTGAGCTCGGTTTCCCAAAGCCATTCTCTTGAAGATGGGAGTTACCTTTGGAAAAATGTTACAGATCAGAGGACAGTCCTGGTTTTCAGTTGCTTGTTTATGGACAATTCCTTTCCATGCTTTTGTAGATAAGCAGGATTAAGGTTCTTCTGAAGTAACATCTTAGCCTTGTGATAGTCTGTTAATTACCTGGCAATTCGACACAGCTACAACTCAGCTGAATGCTGAGTTCTGTTGTATTTTATCCTGGTTTGTGTTTTTTTTTGTCCCAGTGTTTGACATGTTGCGATGTTCCAGAGTGCATTAGAGGGTGTCTTTTTTAGGAAAGCTGAGTTTTTGGGGCAGGCAGTGGCATTTATGTGCTCTGTTATCATGGGTAGCCTTCAGTTCTCAGGGATCCTTGAAACAGGAAGAGAACTAGCTGACTGTGGACATAGATCTCCATGGCTGTGGAGGTCATTAATACTGGTTTCACTGGGCAGCTTTCACATTTAGATTTGCAATTCCTAGGAACAAATTAAACCTCCAAACAGAATAGTTTAAAATAGCAATTTAGGACTTTTGCAATAGAAAGGATGTGTTAAATTCTAATTGCTTGAAAATTTATGTGCAGAAAGAAAGAGTAATTTATTTTTTTTAAAATGGATAATACCAAAAGTATGTGTTTTGTTTGCAGTGCAGAGCTAATGCAGATGGATGACACATTACTTTTGTTCATGGAACACTGCTCTCCATGTACTTATCAAGGGACAGTGACCCCTGCCCAGGCAGGATGAGCACAGGGACGTGAAGCTTCGTGTTGGACACAGACTCTCCAGTTGTGCCACTGCCAGCCTCAGGCTTCAGATCCCTGTGCCAGGAAGAACTTGACTGGTTTTCATTGATTCTTGTTTGTGCTTATAAATAATAACTGCGGTTAAGGTTATTGTTTTCTGACACCAGGTTTTGTACACGGGGATATTACATGGATCAAAGCTCTTATCCTGGGTATTTTCTGTGCAAATCACAGTTTCCTGCCAAGGTATCTTGCTCTCCAAAGCTGCTGGGGACACCTGGCACCTTGCTTTTTATGCCTGAGAATAGCTCCAAATTACATGGGAGGAGGATGGTCGAGGTACCTCCAAAATTCCATGTCAGCACTCGGTGAGGCAGGGCATGGGGAGCGTGGTGATGCCGCTTTACTGTTGGGATTTTCGGTGTTTGAGAGTCAGCACCTGATGTCTTTGATGTCACAGACATTTGTATGTAATACTTGTGACCCCTGTGTCTGCTTTGCCTTTGGCCACCCCACCCTTCCAGCAGCCAGCTGTGCTCCTTTCTGCTTCTACTAGTCAGTTATTAGAGTTCTAGTTGGTAGTTTAATGCAATTTACAGCATATTGTGCATGTCAGCTACACTACACGTTGTTTATCATACAGTGAATCTGTAGATTTTCACTCAAACATGAAAATCTGCTGAGCCTGCAGGGCAGGGTCACTGGTGAGCTGCCCATTGTGAGCTCTGAAAGGGACATGGCCCTTGCAGTGACAGCAGGGACATTGATGAGCCCAATTCAGCTCCATTTGGAAAGGATTAAAGATGCCACTAAAGCTACAGAGGCTGGAACTGCACCAAGCTGCAAAAGCTTCCCAGTTCAAGTGCATCAACCCAAAAGACTCAACATAGCTTCAAATCCCCTGAACCAAAAACCAACAGAAGAATGTGTTGGTGTGTTGTACCAAACAACCTTCAGGACTCACACCAGCCCCCTTCCCTTGGGAATCTGGGGTTTTCCAGTAGCAACACTTACTGAGGGGAAGTAAATGAATAGGCTGTGTAGCTGAGAGGTTTTTTATTTCCAGGGGTCTATAAAATTGGGCAGTTGCTGAAAACTGTGATGGACCTGATTTTTTTTAAGACACAAAAGAAACCTAGTCCTGGAACTACAGCAGGGATGCAGAAAAGCACAGCAGGCAATTTATGTTCTGTTTGCCAGGGATATGACACATGGTGCATGCTCTGGAAGGTGAGTGCCCAGGTGTACTCAGATTTTTTTATAAACTCCCAAGTGCAAGCTCAGGGCAGTGTGTGTGTCTGGAGCACTGATTCAGGGGTGATCTCAGAGGACTCCAAACCTGTGCATTTTGCACTGAACTGTTAGAATTTTAGGTAAGTGTGTGTGTATTTATACCTCTAATTATTTTTCTTGCAAAAAACCCCAAACCAAACAAGTGATTTTATCTTAGATGTTTTCCTGTTAGTTACCCAAAGCTGCTATTTGATTTTTTGCTGAGACATGTACTTGCTGTGTGACCATTTAGCCCCACGATGCTGCAAATTCAGTGAAGAACTGATAGATGTTGAATAAGTGGCTCCACTGTCCTTGTATTTTTAGGTTTGTAGCTGTAAATCTGCAGACAGATAGAATAAAACTGAAGAACAGCCATCTATGATCTTGCTGATTTTATTTAAATAGTGTATGAGACAAAATTTGAGCTTCTGTTGCTTCTCCTGATGCACCAAACCCAAAGTCTGCGTTACAGCTTACGTGGAATTGAGACAGCCCATTACAGCAGCCTTGATCTCAGGGTCTCCTACAGCCAGCTGGAACACAGAATTTATCTTTTTTGTTATCCCTTCACTAATTCCTTATTCCAGTAATAACTCTCCTGGACTTGATTTCTTCTTTCTCACCAAAGGTGCAGGGTGCTGGTCTAAGAGTGTAGGTTTTGCATGGGCTTGTAAGTGAGGGGAAGGATCAGAACCTCCAGACTGTCAGAATGAATTGCTGGTGGGAAATTCCAATATGTGTGTTCTGCTTGGTTCTCAGTGTAGCTGGACATGTTATTTCCCATGTTATTCCTAACACAGCTCTTTCCCACTCTCAGAGACTATGTGGGCAAGCTGCTGCAATTGGTTCTGTCTGGACAGCTCGGCTGAGGAGCCACCGCCACAGGGAGCCCGAGCCCAGGCCTATTCCAACCCTGGGTTCAGCTCCTACCCCTCTCCCACCGCTCCCGAGCAGAGCTGTAAGGCCTGTGGGGTGCACTTCAACAGCTCCTCTAGGAAGGTGAGTCCCAAACTGCTTCTCTGGCACTGCTGGCTGAGGGAGTGTTCAGTTCGGTTGCAGTGCGCCAGCTGCCTGCCATTAATTACTGAGAGCTGATTTGATGAGCCATGGGTGAGCATTAGAGGGCTCTGGTTTGAGGACACACCATATGGAAGAAGACAGCTTGTCTTTGCTCTGTCTTGAGTCATTCTTTCCCAATTAGCAGATGTAGTTAAAGATCTTGGCAATGTGGTAGTTAACCTTGGGCAGACTGGGCTTTCCCAGGCGCCAAAAGAAGCCAGTCAAGCTGCCTGTCATCACGTACAGGAGCATTAACTCCAGCATCAGGTTTTTAATCTGTCACTTAAAAACATGCCCTTAAAAAAAAGTGACAAGAAGTTTAGCAATCTGTTTGTGCCTTCAGTAAAGGAAAATCCATGTATCTCTTTTCCAAAGTGTTGCTCAAACTCAAGTTTGAGCTCAAACATGCAAGTTTCTGGAGGGTGTGTGTTCAATAGCTAAAGCTTGATGAAACAACAGCAACAAAAAACTCCAGCCTCTCTCCTAGTTCATTCTGTTTTGTTTGTAAACTTCATTTGTGGGCATACAGATGTCACAATAATTGTTGCCATGAGATTTTTAATGAGAAGTAAAGCCTGTCTGGGACATTGTTTGGGTTACGGTGGTTCCTATAATGCTGCTTGAAAAATACTTTATTGAGGAAAGTTTTTCAGAGTCCAAACTCTGTGCTTAAGAAGTGCCTTTGATATAGCATGTCACTGAACAATAATGTGAGAACTTAAAAATTACAGTGAATTTTGGCCAGAGCCCTTTTAAATTGGGGGGCTAAATTAATAAATTGGTCTGTCTCATATCTTTTTTCTGTGCATGGTGGCACATAGCTGAGAAGTGGTCAGTCTTGGCAGAGCTGCTGCCTTCTGCTTGCAGAACAAAAGAGCACAGAGAACTGGATTCTCTCCCCTGAGAGTCAGAACCTTTGAACTGTGGTGTCCAGTTAATGTTACACTGAGATACAATGGATAAAAATTGATTCCTTCCATGTTTGTGACCATAAAGATAACCTGGATTGCTTAAAAGAAATCAAAACCAATAAACATACAAAAAAATAACCCCCAAAGCAGAAAGATAGTATCCTAAGTACTTGATCTTTTATCCTAATTGTATTTTAATTCTCATATACCATAACTCCTACTAAATGGATTAGGGCAGGAGGCACTTGAATGGAGCATGTTCTTATGAAATGGTTTTAAACAACTTGTTGGAGCATCTTTAAAGGATGTAAAGTTGAGTCATGATAGATAGCAAAAAAAATCTGTTGAGTTTTTTTGTTTTCCCTCTCTTAGATGACTTTTTGATCTTGGTTTTCTGCAGCAAACTGATTCTGCAAAATCTTTTCTATTTTAAAGCAGCACTCTTCGTTTCCCTCTCTGCTGGCAGAAAGCTCTGGCAGGCGCTCTTGGTTAGCTCAGATTGTTATTCCTTCGTCCCCTGTTTTCTGATTTCAGTGCCTTAAATTGGTTGACATTTTCAGGAAGATGCTTTTCTTTTGATACTCACAGGAAAAGCTCCTGGCAAGACTGAGTGGAACAACAGGAGCTGTAGTGAAAGCTTGACTGTTGGCATTTCTTCATTTTATCCCACATGCAGAGAAGAGCCAAGTGCATCAGAGCCCCATCCGGGTATCTCTGGGAGACTGGCCAGCCAGGAACAGCTTCATCCTGGACACACTTCTGTTCTAAAATGTTTCACTGCTATTTGACCGTCCTGGAATTGTACTACCAGTTAGCAAACATCCTTCAAAAGTGGCCTGACCTTTTAGTAACAGGCTTAAATTAACAACAACACTTGAAACTAATAATTCTGAAGAGACTGCTGCCTTCAGTCATTGCTCTTTCAGTCAGAGCTCAACAAACACTTGGGAGCTACAGAAGCTACTGAATCCCCAGACATGGCCAGCAGCTCCTGGACATGGTTAAATTCTTGATGCTTAGATACAGGCTGGGGAAGTTCTTTTCTCTGAAGAAGAATCCTAGTGGTGAACTGATAAGCCAGAGAAAAGCCTGGTTTTATTTTGACTTCTCCAACTTAGCATTTGATAACTAAAGCAGACTCATGTAGTTGCTGTTAATTGCAAAACCCGTGATGGAAAATGCAGCCCTTGTACTGTCCTCCCTTCCATGGCCTCTAGACATGTCAGTGCTCCAGTGGGGATTTTTCCAGCTAGAAGGTCGTTGGCCGTGCAGTGATTCCCTTTGGAGCTGCTCTGGCAGTCAGCAGAGCATGGGGGAGGCTTCCCCCCACCAGAGGAAAGCAGGGTTATTTGTCCTCTTGGGTTTTTTCCCCTCTCAGTTCTTCTGGCTGCTCCTCTGCCAGAGATGGGTGGTTGGGAGCAGGACCGTGTCCATGGGGTTATTTTCCTATTCTCTGTCCCTGTGGAGCATTTGTTCCCCTGCTCTGGACACTTCTGAACTTCTGAAAATCAAGCTCTTATTGACCAGACCAGTAAAAATATAAACATTGAACAACAGCATTTATTCTGTAAAGTTTTTCAACATCTGGATCTTAATTTTTCCAAAACTTCCAACATTTTCTCTCTGTCCTAGCTGGCACACAGGGTGTGTATTATTTTCAAAATAAGCTGTCTATTTTTCTGCATAAATAAATGCTGAATTTTTTGTTGTCTGTCAGACACTGTAAACCCTGCTTAAGTTTCATTTTCCTCTTATGGTGAAAAAGAGATTTATTTAGTAATTGGAGGGAAAATTGAAGGGAAAAAATAAAAGCAGGGAGGAGAGGGGATTTGTTTGTAGCAAGTCTTATGTTTATGAAACAGAGAAATGTTTTTAAGTAGTTCCCTCCAGTGCTGGATCTTTCTTGCTGCACAGAGCAGTATTTCATGGTTCCATAGAGCAGTGCCCAGCTCACTGTCATTTACCTGGAAGTCTGCTGCCTGATGGACACCTCCTGACTTCACCTGTCCTTAAACTGGATGGGCAGGTCTGGAATAAGGTGCAGAAAGGTCCTGTCATTTGAGGGGATTGTTTAAGAATATAGTACTGCATTCTGAGTAAATGGAGCATAAATAGTGCTTTTCTAAGCTAAGAATCTAGTGACCTGCTCAGGGGATCAATCCTCTTCCTGATCTGGGAACATGACTGACATACTTGGCACTTCTTCATAACTGAGAAGGTTTTGTGTGCTTTAACAGAGGCTTGGATTGGTTTGATTCTCTTCCCTTCTCTTTGCCAGCACATCTGTTTGGACTGTAAAAAGACCTTCTGTACCTCCTGCTCAAACCAGCCTGAAGGAGGTCCCCTTCTCTGCCATCTCTGCCAGCGTGTCCGTGCCACAGCTTTCCAGCGGGAAGAGCTGATCAAGATGAAGGTGAAGGATCTGCGAGACTATCTGGCGCTCCGTGAGATTTCCACAGAGTTGTGTCGTGAAAAGGAGGACCTGGTATTTCTGATTCTTGGCCAGCAGCCTGTGATTACCCAGGAAGATCAGATAAGAACAAACCCACTTAATACTAGTGCCTCTGGACAGCAAGACTTTGTGATTCTCCCACCACCCAGCACAGCATCTCCTACCTCACATGATGTGTCTCCCACATCTGCAGATCCCATCTCAAGTTCACTAACTCAGGAACATCAACAGGTAGGAGGCTCTAGCCAGAAGCATCTTTTGCAAACTCGTTCATCTCTGGGTTTGGATTAACTAAGATTTTGCATGAGCTTTTGCAAGTAGATAATACGCAAACATTTTTGATGTTAAAAGATGTTCTGCTCAGAACAGATGACAGAATACTTCAGATGCATTTTATACAAGCTCCTCAGATTTTGAAGTGAGGACCTGACTTTCCTACAGGATCATTAGGAAAGCAAGAGGAGTTAGTTTGCACTGTGTTGCTGCTGCACCAACTCTGATGTGCCATTCCCTTTTTGCATGAGTAGCATTTAATTTGGTGGGCAGTGCTGAGGGCACTGTACACTCTCTCTGAGCCCAGCATCACTCTGTTGAGATGTGTTGTCTCTGGTACTTTGGTCCACATGTGCCACTGCCACGAGATAGTCCTGTGACTGGTCCCTTTGGTTCCTGGTGTCTCTGTTGGTGCACAGTTCTGTTTTGTGTGCACATGTTGACAACTTCCTGGAAGTTTTATGGAGATGTTAGATGAAATGGTTATTACTGTTCTTGAATTGTGTGCAAGACTGCAAGCACAGTTTAAAGCAGTCTTGGATTGGAAAGTTGTGAGATGGGCAAGGTTTTGGATATCTCCTGCACCAAGATGAATAGAAGACAGAATCCAAGTCTATTGTTAGTTTTCAGTTTATGATGAACCCAGCAGTTCTGACAAACCTTGTCAGGGGCATTTGAGCCTAATTGTTTGTTATTGACTTTGCTTTATTTGTCTTTCTGCTGTCTGGTTCGGGAAGTTTACTTGGTTTTTAACATCTGCTCCCAGTCCTGTTACTGGGACCTATTATAATATAGGTGTATTTAGTTCCCTGTGGACCTGAGCTGTGAAGGTGTGCACCTTCTCCTTCCTCAGTGGATATATCTGGTACAAAAGAGCTTTCCTGGGAGGACGTTTTTTACAAATTGTTAAAGGGCCTTTTCATTCTCTGGTTTTCTGGTTGTTGCTGTCCCGATTTTTACCAGCAAATTCAGCTCAGTTGCCTTCCCGTACTGCCCCTTGGTACATTCCAGCTTCTTGCAGCCACTTGCATGAGATCCTGCTACAGTTTGGGTTCTTTCATCATTGTTGTTTCGCTTTGTGAGTATGAACGAGTCCCCACTTAGCTAAGGAAAGTGGGTTGCAGCCCCCTCTGTCGGTGGGAACCAGGGGCAACGGCAGCTGCTGAGGGCAGGGCAGCTGGAGACGCGCTGTAGTTCCTTGCAGTTTGGTGCCTGCTCGAAGCAACTGCCTCTTCTCGTTCTCCAGCTTTGCTGCTGCTGGTCCTTCACTTAGTGTCCAGTCTAGAACCCACCTGAGGAGGTGTTTCTGCACGGTTACTGTGAAGATGACCTGCTGCTGTGCCAGCAGACCTGGGCCATCACCCCGGGCTCCCCTGCAACGCTTCAGGGAAGGACTGCATAGATGTGTGTGTGTTTGTGTATAAATTTGGTCTCCTTATCCAGCCTCACAGGAACATCCTGTGGGATCTCACTGCACAAGTACACGATCAGGGTTTAAGTAAAGTGGGGCTTTTTAGGGTCAGATGGTGTGCTTCAGTTTCCGAAGGTTTTACTTGTTTGAAGTTCATTTGTTTTTGTAGGTGCTGCATAGGAAATGCCTTCTGTCCTTGCACTTTGCTTTTGCCTTGTGCTGTGTTCATCCTCCCAGCGGGCAGGGTTTGCAGTTCTGCTGAACTACTGAGCTTCTTTCCCTCTGGACACACTGCAGTAGGCTGTTGGTGAAAGCTTTATTTCCTCTTCTAGGCAAATGGTTACATGTCTGCAAGCCAAGTCAGTCTGACAGGAGTTGAGGATGCAGCAGAAGCACCAACAGAGGAGGAGACACAGGTTTGTGTGAATCAGATGACAAGGAATACCAGGGTTTTTAGGCCATATTTGACACCACGGAATCATGGCTGCAGAGGGGTGTGGCTGTCATTCAGTAATGGATTGCTGTATTAAAGTAATTAGAACAGTAATTCAGGCTGACTGCTGGCAGAACCAACCAACCCCTTTGTCACCACCTTGTCCTCCACATATGGAAATAATTGGTGTCACCTGGACACCATAATAATACAAATAATTTATTTCTTTCCATCCTAGGACTTGGGTTTCTGTTAGATGGAGGAATGCCCAGAGTGATCAGTTCCATGTGCATCCAAACGTGAATTCCTGCTAGTGCACATGTTGAAAGTTGATTTAAGTTGTAGTGCTTGGTGTTGAGGGCAAAACTGATTCCATCTTTGCTCCCTCTCAGTCTACTGACTCAGAAGATAACCTGGTGCAGGGGAGGAAGGCTTCCCTGTCTGACCTGACCAGCATCGGGGACATCAACGCGCTCTCGGTGCGGCAGCTGAAGGAGATTCTCGCCCGCAACTTTGTCAACTACAAGGGCTGCTGTGAGAAGTGGGAGCTGCTGGAGAGGGTGACTCGTCTGTATAAAGAGAAAGACCTTCAACATCTAGGTGAGAAGCTTGGCAAACATGTGCCATGCTGTGCTCAACAGTATTAGTGAGATTGTGCAACACCAAAGAAACTGGCACAAAGGGCTGCTGAAAGTGTAGTTTTAGGAAGCCAGACACTGCATAAATTCCAAGGCTGTCTTAAAAATGGAGACCTCACTTTAGATAGTTGCTTATCTTTGTGCAGCATTTGCTGTTGTATAAGCTCAGAAAAGAAAGTTTCTGACCAGCTGAACAACCTGTCCTGGGATAATGAGCTTGAACCTCTGCATGGGCAGCAGCAAAAAGCAGTTTTGGTTTAGTTACCTCCCTTCCAGGCTTTTCTCTCCTGTTTAGTAATACTACTTTAGTAATTTTTCCCCAGCTTTTGTTATTGTCACCAAAATAACTTTCTCTTCTTGTTTTGCAGTTTCTGACACCGACGATCAAACTGGTAAGTGACATTTCTTCATGTTGTTCCATTCACCTCATTGCTAAGAATCCCAGTCGTGTTTCTGTTTTCATTGCACAGAAAAGTGTGAAGGGCACAACTTTCTGCTCCCTGCTGGCTGGTGAAGCAGATGCATCCACACTAGTGTAGAGGCAGGAGGAACTGCTTTCAGTCCTTCAGTGTGCAAGAGAACATGGAGGGAGGAAGCCCTTTGATAAAGCCAACTCACCGACTGCACAAATCCAGCCTATCTGTCTTTGTCTCATGCAAACCATGGTCTCTCATTTCCTCAGGTGGTGCTGGGCTCCCTGGCACAGAGGACAACCTCTGCAAAATCTGCATGGACGCCCCCATCGACTGTGTCCTGCTGGAGTGTGGCCACATGGTCACTTGCACCAAGTGCGGGAAGCGGATGAGCGAGTGCCCCATCTGCCGGCAGTACGTGATCCGGGCTGTCCACGTCTTCAAGTCCTAAGTGTGCTGAGGACTGGGACTGCTGCTGCCCTAAAGCCTCACCTGATCTTGGAGGCACAATCCCTACAAATAGTTAGGTCAGAGATTAGCACATGGACCCCGCTGGAAGTGAGGGAAGGATGAAGCCTGGGGAAAATCATTCTTGCTCAAGCTGTGCCTGGCTCTGCTCTTCCCACAATAGTGCTTTACACCACAGTGCCTGGACTCCTGGGAGCTCATTGCCAGCAGCAGACACAGAAACCATTGACAACCTACACTCTAGGGTAACTTGATCCACTAGTGTTTGGGATAGATGGATGCTTGGCTTTCCACCTCGAAGAGGCTTTTTCCCTGAATAATAAGTGGACTGGAGTCTCAAAAAGTGGCTTTTGTTTTTCTTCTTAGGCTATAAACTCATCATCAACTTTTATTTCCAAGGTTAAAATTGTTTTGTGCTTGTTAATGTTTAAAAATATATTATTTAATGTTAATTTCTTATGCTTGCAGGACAGGCAGACTGCCTCTGATTTCTGTGTTCAAAACAGCACAATTCTAGCCTAGTGCAATTGTGGAAAAATGTATAATTTTATTTGCAGATGGACTTTGTACTGTTGAAAAATGTAAGGGGAGTGAGACTGAGACACAGCCTTACCTTGGGGGGTGGTGGTGTGTTTACGTGCCAGGGAAAGGGAGAGGTCTGGTTTGGCCACTACTGACTCCCTGGACTTGCCAGGCTGCCTTACAGCAAACACCAGCAGTTTTACAGCTGGGCTGACTTCATTCCATCATGGAGCTGCACAGCTCAGGCTTGAGGCTGTTGAGGGTTCAGTGTGGAAATACAGCTCAAGTACCAAGGATTCCCTTGCTACACAATCACACCTAAGTACAGGTGACACTTTTCAGAGGGGAGGCATGAACAAAAGCAAACTTTGTCTCCCGTGGATCAGTAAGATGAGTGATCATCGCTCTAGGTGCCTCTGTTTGCTAAGCAGCTTCCCCCTCATTCTCTCCTCTGCTCAATCTTAAGCAGCCTGAAAGTAACAGGACTGCATCAAAAGCAATTTATTTTGTACTCTTTCTGCCTTGAGGGTGGACAGGGGATTCTGTGGTCTGATCAGTGACCCCTGCAAGCCCTTCCTGCTCTGCTCGGCTGGAAGCCTTGCTAGAGAAATGGGAACTGCCATGTTTTTCCCTCTGTGCCCTGCAGGCAGTCCGTGCAGTTGCCTGGTACCAGCTACTTTGCAAATCTTGATGCCTTAAGTTTTCAGCCAGCATGGGATTGTATTCTCTTTTCAAGTCATTTGTGAAGCTCCTTCTGCTGCAGCATTTTCCTGTCTAGCTTTTCCCTTTGAGGGTGGCTGCCAGCAGGGAACTGCATAAACAAGTGTCCACTTAAGCTTCTGGAAGTGGTTACAGAAATGATCACCAGAGCCATCTGCTTTTGCAAGAAGTGGTAACATGTTAACAGCAAATGAAATTTGCCACCTTTCCCATGGAACATTGCCTGAGTAGCACCTGCTTCCCAAGTGGGGAGTGGAGGGTTGTGCTCTGCAAGTTGGAATCAGTAAAGAACTTCAGGTGAGGAGATCTGTCATTTGGGAGGCAGAACCTCTGCACTGCTGAGGGCATCACTGAACTCCACAAAAAATGCAACAGCTGCTGAGGTTTATTGAACTAGAAATTGAGTTTTACCTCTTCCCTTGTTCAAGTTGTTCTCTATCTGTTGACTTAGGGTTGAACAGCTCCCAGCAGGAGAGGAGCACTGGTACAATTCCATGCATCATCTTAAAAATAATATTGCAGGTGAGCAGTGAGTGTATTTACTCTTCAAGTGGTTCACAGGGGCCTCTTTAAGAGGAACAGGAATAAACATATAAAGTGTTGAACAGCCTCATTTAGCAGATTCACTGTGAAAATTCATGTCATATTTTCCAATAAACTCAGGGCTGGGGGAATTTAGCAGGAAGAAGAGTATTCCCCTGTGGACAGCTGTAGAGAGTAGGCTTATTTCCTACAGCAGATACATCAGGATAGATCAATGCCTGAAACATTAGAAATGAGAAGATATACCCACCATATGTCTCTGAAATGTGCTTTCTGAAGGGAGGACTTTTTTTTTTTTTCCTGACTACAGTGTTTTTCTTGCAAAAGAAAAAAGGATTCTCTGCTATGGATTTGATTGTCTTTAAAGAAAAATAACAATCTGGAGGAAACTTATTAATGATCCAAAAGAATATAATCATCAGAACTAATAAAGTAAATGGAAATATTTATGTGCTTTATGTGCACTGTACATAGTTTAAATATTTTTAAAGTTAATATTCTACTTGAAGTGGCATGTTCTTCTCTGTTAAATCCTCTGGGTACTATGATGGTTAAACTTACTAGTTTTGGTACAGAAGTTTGGTTTATAATTTTATAATAAAGCTGAAATGTGATTTAGTTAACCTTGTTTTCTGACTCTATTGCCAACAGGCTAGGAGAAAGCAGAGATCCTACAGCTGCTTCTGAGCTGCAGACAGGATAGGCTGGGGACACCAGGTACCTAAATATCATTAGAGTGGAGTACAAGTACAGAAGTGGTTGAAGCAAAAAAGTTATCTAAAACTACTAGCCTGTAAGTAGTACAATCCTAACTTGGTGAAGATTACAAAAGGGAGAGTGTTTTCTGTACCCTTGAGATTAAGGAAACCATTAAACTGGGCAACTCCCTCTTCCTTTCCCAGTGCACATGCACTGGGCCCACCCCTGCATGCACCCAGCAACTGGACACTGGCATTTGCACCAGGTAACTACAGTGTTAGAAGCAGGGGCTGTTGTCCTTACTCCAGTAACAGTCAAGTACTTGTAACAGGTGTTAACAGCTTCAGGTAAGGAGAACCTGCCAGCTATCCTAGAAGATCCAGGTGGAGCTCCTTTATTAGCTTTTACTTGTTAAAACAAAGAGCAGAACAGGAGCTCTTTATTGTAGACAAACACACTCCAAGAGGATGCTTGGATAATGCTACAGCTGTTGCTGTCATGGAAGTTTTCTGGTGTCCTGGTTTTAATGTGAGCCCCACAGCTGAGCTGTGAACTGCTCCTGGACACACACCTGTGCTGGATGATGAAAGACAGGAAATGTCAGACCAGTAGAAGGACAAGTGTCCTTCCTATGCAGCAGTGATCCTGGCTCTGCAGCCAACAGTTTCACATGCCTGCTGGTCTGTTTTCCTGTCCAGGCAGAGGATAACCTTTGGAAAATAAGTCCTGACAGCAAAGGAGAAACTGCTTCAGTTTTATTTCTTTATCTATAAAAATAGCCAAGTTGTAAAAACCCAAGGAGACTAAACCAGCACCTAGATAAGTGCAGTGGTTTACATTATGGACAGAAAAATGGATTCAACAGTGACATTTCTTCAGAGAGCTCTTTTAATTCATTCCAGATGGTTGCTATAGGTCTTTATAACTACCTGAGACAGACTTGGATGTTATTCTGTCCATGTCTCCAGAGACTCTCACCATTTCTTCCACCTACCTATGTTCTCAGCCATTGCTTTCAGGAAACTCTTATGTCAGGACTGCTCGGGTGCCCCACGCTGCTAGTACGGGGCCACCAGACTTTTTTTCCGGATGCATTCCCAGATCCACTTGGGGGACACACGTTTAGCACCAGGATTGTCATCAGTGTCCCCAATAACGTGGGTGGCTGAGGCTGCATCAAACTCGGGCACGATGTCCCCGTCGTAGGCGATGAAGTAGCGCCGGATCTTGTCAAAGTCCTTCACGGAGGGTGCCAGGTAAAGCTTCACCCCAGTGAAGATGTCCAGCAGGACCTGCAGGGGGAAGGAGGAGGAGAAGCAAAACATTAGGTTGGGCTGGAAATTGCACTAAATTCTTTGAGGCATGAATGAGTCCATTCATCGTTCCCAAAGTGATCACCCCTAATAACTGTATGTTGCTCTTGGACTGCCAAGAAATCACACGCAGGAGCAGCCCCCACACAGTTCCTCTAAGCCAGATGTCACAGCTGAACTGCTTCCCCAGCAAAGGGGAATTAGCACCCCATTATTGCCTTTGGTGATGATGCTGGTAAACATGATCCTAATGTCTGTCTTTACAAGCTGATGCTTCTTAGTTGAAGTAGAACGTAACTGCCCCAGGAGGGGGTTGCTGTTTACATCAAAATAGTTACTCCAGGCTTATCAGGAAATTACAGCTCAGTTGTTCTTAATCTACTCCTCCAGTTTGCTGCACAATGGGCTAGAAAGGACAATTCTCTCCCTTTCCAGCACCCACCTCTTCCATGTGCAGCTGCTCAGCAATCACAGCACATTGCAGAGCAGGACAGTTGGTGGCTGGATAGTGCTGGCCTGTAGCAGGACGAGCCCAGTCACACCAGCTCTGCAGACAGCAAAGAGCTGCAGCCATTCACCTTTCACAAGGAGGCTTGCTGCTGTTTCTGCCTTTTCATTTCAATTTAGGGTGCTGCTATAGGAAGATTTCAAAGACTTTCCACCAGAGGGGGGGGAAAAATGAGCAGACAGTTGAAACTGCCTCAGCTCCCTCCCATCCCAAAGTGGTTGCTGCCCAGCTGTCCATACCTTTTTTCCATTGTCTTCCATCTCGGATGCTTTTCTCTTCTCCCCTCGTCTCTCCTCCGTTTTTTGAGGTGATCCAATGACTGCTTTGCTCTCTAAAAACAAAAACTAGTCTCATTTGTGCCCTCTATCTAGTTAGTGCTTGTCTATTGAAGTGGGGAGAGAAAAAAGAGAGTAAAAGGGAAGAGGCTTACTCCACCATTTCTGCAATTTCCAACAGTTAGAATGTAACTAGTGAACACATTTTTGTACTGCAAAAGGCTGCGGGCACCTGCCTGCCCTCACCTCTAGGATGCTGTTGTTCCCCTCCCTGCTGTCACCACCCTGCCTTTTTGAGACTGCTCAGAAATTTCCTTTAAGCAAACTCATTTCAGTTCTGCAACTTAGTACCTGGAAATCCCCTCCATCCAGGTGCCCTATTATATGCATGAATTTCATCCAAATAAAATTAAATATTGGTTCATGGCCAAAAATATCTAATCAAAGGGCATGTGATCTGCAGGAAGGAGAGCAGCAGGTTTGCTGTTCAAACCACTCTTACAAATACTGCTGAGGACCTTCTAATAGGATTAAAAGGGACTGCAGCCCCAGAGAAATGACTGCAAAGTAGTTTTGGTATGAACTGTAACTGAGACTCTGCCAGGTTCAAGACACCTGTTCTAGGCAGGATGGACAAGAGACTTTATTGTCTAAGTGAGTTGCTCAAGCACCAACATAAACAGCCTCCCTCAGTGCTGTTTCCATCTTCTCTTCATCCCAGTATGGTCAGAGGTGTGGCTGCTCAGGCCAAACCAAGGCTCTGAAAAGCTCTGCCCATTAACCCTGTCATGCACAGAAAAGCTGCCATGGGATCACCCAGCATCTGACAGAAGGCAGAGATCCAAAGCTGGCCTGCACACACCCTGAGGCTCCTCTCCCTGGAAAACCTTCTTACCTTCTGGCTTCTTGGCTTTTGCAGGTGACTTGCTTGGAGGAGTTTTGATAGTGCTGTGTGGTGTGGAAGACCTGGAATTTCCCTCATTCTCTCCACTGCTTCCAGCTGTGGACTCATCTTCCTCCCCAGCAACAACACTGAAATCGGCCTTCTCTTTGGAGAGCTGGTACAGCTCCTGTCCCACCAGAAACAGAGCATTGCCTTCAGCCACACTGAGGCCTCTGATACCAGACACAAGCCATAATGCATGTGCTTCTGTCTGTTTCCCTCCTGAAGTCTTTGCTCATTTGCTTTTTCTCCCTGCACCTTTTTATAGGCATTTTCCTTTCAACTTTGTGGAACCCTTTGCATTCCACCCAGCTGCTTGACATGAGGGGAGGCCATCCAGGCAGGTAACAAAAGCCATAGTAACAATCTACTACAGAGCAAGACAAACCTAACTCTTCAGAGCCTGAAAATTGGGCAGCACCCATTCCTCCCTGAGGGAACAGTCTGCCAGGGGGTGTTCTACCTTTCTCTCTCCTACCTGCATAGGGAGCCAGCCTAAGTGACTCCTGGCGTGGAAGGCCCAGGCAGCACTTCCCTCTGCTGCCAGCATCCCTGCAGGCAGGGCCCAGAGGACAAGGGCCAGGCTGCCAGCAGAGCTCACAGCAGCTGGTGTCCTGCTGGGGTGGCAGTGGAACAGCAGTTCCTTGATTGGGTGGGATGGGTGCAGCCCTGGGGGTCCTGCCACACAGCCATTTGGGCCCTGTGCCCTGGAGCTGGGCTTCACTCAGTCTCTTCCCAGATCCTCCCCCAATCTCAACAATTAATAGGAGACCAAATGCCCATAAACACTTAAGAGAATAAAGGTCATCTCTTCCAGGAAGGCAATTCCTCACCATGAAGGCTGTTACAAGAGATACAACTAGCTGCCAGCACAGACTTGCCTGCAAGTGCACAACACAACAGCTCAAGAAGCCCCAATTAAGATTCACATCAAAATAATCCAACCAGCAGCCTGAGCCTGGAATACATGGAAAATGAAAGGTGCCATCTCAGGCACCAGTCAGCACTATCATCACTACATCCCCTGCTATCCAACCTGGTCTTTTCCAGTGCAGACTGCTGACAGATCTTACCCTGGCACAGGCTGCAGACACTGTGTGAGCTCACCTTGAGCTGCTGGAGGTTGGTGGCTGTCTGCCAGTCCTTGTCATCTCGAATGCGGGTGCAGCGGGGGAAGCGAATGGAGATCCCGTCTGCAGTGTGGGCCTCAGCTCTGGAGAACTCTGCTCCCGTGATCTCCCACACTGGAGCTTTCTGAGCACAGCATTGGGGAAGCTAGGTCACATTCCTGTGTTCTCTCAGGAACTGACACATCTGTGATCCTCTGCTTCTGTAACTCCCCCCCAGCACAGAGTCCCATGTACACAAACTGACCTTCTTGGTCACATTAATTAGAAAACAAATGATTTCAGTGAGTTAGAGATCCTCAACTAGTATGTCATGCCAGTTTCCAAACAGCATGGCACAGCCCATACTGATCCATTCCAGAAACCAATAGCAATGCTTGGGTCACAGCTGTGCTTTTGGGAAGTTGCTTTTAAGTCAGATTTTTCATGCCTCAAATTTAAAGTCAGTTCACTTCTGGAAGGCATTCAATGTACAAGAATATCTCCCAGACATCCTGTGGGTGTGATTTCTTCATGAAGCTCTTTGCCTCAAGTGCACCTCCAGGATTCAGAGAAAAACTTGTGCCTAAGTTCTTGTTCCAAGTATGAAGACTCTTGTAAGAAAGATAATTTGCACACTTCAAGGAAGTGCAGTAAATTGCTTTATCAGGGCTGGAAAATACAGCTAAATCACACTGACAGCACTTACCTTTGGGTCTGGGACAATGAAGTCTGGGTAGTAGATTTTGTTAATTTTTAGCCACTTTGGAATTTTACTCGGATCCTATTTAATAAGAAGCACAAAAACAAAGTGATGGCACTTATGGTCATACATGAACCTGCTCCTACAAAAGAAGCTGCAGTAAGATAACCCAGCAGCAGATTAACATACAGGTGTTACACTGCCCTTGTACTTGCTCTGCCTGCAGTGAAGGTGCACTGATTTGCAGCAGTTTCTCTTACCTAGAGAATCACAAAAATTACCAGAAGCAGCTCTCAGTTGCTGGCATCCTCCATGTAAAACTGTTCCAACTGATTAATATAAAACTACAATTTTTAAAAAAGATTCTAAAACCTTGATGCCTTCAGGATGTCAAGTAAACATTAAAATGCAGCTCTTTTAATTATATCACCCACAAGAAGTCTGTAACTCCACCATGTCAGGTTTTGGAGCCATGAGAGTCTGACTTGAGCATTTCTCACCTGCAGCCCCACCTAGTGACTGTCCTCACCAATCACAAGATGCCAAAAGAAACAAAAAAAGTACTTGCTCTGCTCTTTCTAAAACTTTCAGTGTCTGAGCACAAATGTCAGGCAGTGCCTCACGTTCAGGAGCTGGCTGCACCCACATCTCATTTGTGTCAGAGCAGCTGATCCCTTCAAGTGACTGTGCCTCTGCTTTCCCAGCAGAGAACATTCCCAGCTTTCAACAGGCCCTTTGCTGAGCACTTCTGTGATCACCTCCATGCAGAGCCCCTCTCACCTTGCTGATCTTCACCATATCTAGCTCTTTTTGCAGACGTGCCAAGGTAGCATCATCATGGCCACCAGAACACTTGGTCACAGTGCACCACTTCTCACTCTTGGGATCATAGCAGCCCATGAGGAAGATGGACATCATCCCACCTGTAGGAGGGGAGAGCATGGTGATTCACATCCTCTAAAGGACAAGCCACAGCTTTTAAAAAAAGCAAAGTACTGAACAAAACCCCTTTTCCATCTTTGGGAATCCCAGGACCTTGAGCTTGTGATGGCTTCACAGCATCAGACCTTGGGCTTGTGATGGCCTCACAGCATCAGCTTCTGTATACGCAACTGAGGACAGAGCCCTAAACTCTGCAAGAGCCCAGCCCAAGACCTAAGGCTTTGCTGTGCCAACCACAGTGAACTCCCAGCCTGGCACATAAGGGGCTGCAGCAGATGGTCACCACTAGAGCCAGCCCTATTCTGGTAGGACACCAAATGCTACAGGAGGCCTGGAATGGGAAAAACCTTGACAGGTTTCTGAATGGACAGATCTTGGACTTAAGCCAACTCCAGAGACTTACCTTTATTGCCATGTCCATAGAAAGCTCCCAGCACTACCAGGTCTGCTGTGTCAGCCATGGCACCCTCATTCAGGTAGTCCTTCTTCACCTTCAGCCAGTGGCGTTTGCCTGGTTCATAATTACTCTGTGCAAGATAAGACAAGATCCCCTGTCAGAAAGCTCACCTGGTGGCACCTGCCCCCTCAAACAGCCCTTGCTTCTCTCCAGCTTGGCAGTACAAGAGCAGAGTGCTCAGATCTATGAGGAACACCATGGATCAGATATTAGTATTGATGAGACCCCAGAGATGTGTCAAGGATGCACAGCCTTGTGTGCTTCATCCACAGACCTCCCTTCTTGTTATTCCCCAATTCCCAGCATCCACCAGTGAAAACATGAACCTGCCTTTATATCTTTCAGCACCAGTCCTTCCAGTCCCTCACGGATGACTCGGGTGATCATATCTGCCAGATCTGAAGCTTTCTGAAGAGGAAAAGAATTATGGTTAGCTCAAGACTGTCAAAAGGCTGTGATCTTGAGGCTTCCTATTTGGAGCAGTGGTGCACTAAAACCAAAGCAACTGAAAAGAGGTGAATGGGTAATTTAATTAAAATAGTTTCCAAGGAGAGTCTCATACATGTTTTCTTTGCTGCACATCCAGTGACTAAGCTGTGAATATGTCCCAAGAAGGTTCCTTAGTTAAAAAATACTCCTCAGAGATGAGGTAGCCATGCTGATTGTGTCCAGAGCATGTCTCATAGGTGCAAGATCATATTTCCCTCTGTCCAGCTGCCTTGGGTCCTATGCTCTTTTCTTCTTCCCAAAATGCTTTTTTTGCCCCTCATGTCCAAGCATTCTCCACCAAAGCCAAGGTGCTAAAGAAACCAGCAGCAGTGGGGAGCAGTGCTGAGGGAGCTGCACATAGACCAGCCTACACCCTTCTGACAGGCAGGGAACTGCTGAATGTGCAGCCTGACTCATAAAAAGGCCAGGGGGAAAGGAGCAATGGAGTGTTCAGTGTGCAGTCTGACATCCCATGGTGATGCTGTTTCAGAATGGACTCACTGTGACGTGCTTCATCTCCGAGAAGAGGATCCTGTTGGGAATTTCCACCATGTTGTCGTGGAGAAACTTGCGTCGTTCACACAGGGGCCTAAACCAGGGCGTGGGAGTGAGGGACAAGCAGGCAATGTTAACGTGAAGTACCAGTCACCTGGACACTGAGAAGAGGTATTTTAAATAATTAAATGATCTATCCTACAGAGTTCCAGAAAGGACAATCAATTCTTACTTTCCTTCAGGAAGTAAGTTATAAATTATGTGTTAAGGGTGCGTTTAGTTTCAGAGGCTGGAAGAGGAGCTGGGTACTGAACCATCCCCAGCTCAGCTGAAATGCAATCAGTGCTAATCCTGAGATTTTGGCACTGCAGAGCAAGGTGGAGCTCCTCAGCACAGCAGGATTCTCCCATGCTCTGGATTTACAAGGACAAATGGCCTGCCTTCACAGCCAGTGTGAACTGCTCCCTCTGAAACACTCGGGTACCCCTCAGGTTCCTGCAGGGAGAGAGGTCAGGCTGCTCACACCTACCTGTCCATCAGGCTGATGTCATTGAAATAGATGCAGTCAAACACAAACAAGCAAACGTTGGCATCCTGGAAAGCAGCTTTCTGAAAGATAATTAGGATTGATTACAAGAAATCAGCAGGGGTAGCCAGAAACAATATGGAGTTTTAGAAAAATAACAGAAACAAAAGGATGTTTTTTATCTCTGCAATCTTTTAGTTACAATAAGCTTAGGTCTCTTCTCAAAGACAGAAGTCTTCCAGAATTAAGATTTCATCTGAATGTGTCAAAGCACAAGCTAAGAAGATAAAACTTGCCAATTTCCTAGACAGGGAGATAAAGCCACATATATTCATGGACTTTAGGCAATGTGACATCCATCACTGTTGCTGCTGCAACACAAAACCAACAAGCATTCCAGAGACTTCAGATTAATGGCGACTTTACATTAATGCATTTACAGTTTATTTGTAATTTTACTGCCTTCTTCCTCATCACCATTTAGTCTAGACATAAGCACTACTTAATATTCACGTGGACTGAATATTCTCTGTCATGGTATCCCAGCCTCCCATCCATTGCTCCAACAGTGAAAAGCAATGACACAATGGCAAGATTTTCCAGGGGTTTTTCAGTATTTATCTGGAGCTGAAGTTTTCTTACTGTCTTGCTAGTGATCAGGTCAGTATCAAATCTCTTGTATTAGAGCAGTACCTTTGCATTAGTATCAGCCTTCTCAGGGATCTTTTTTCCCCAGATGTTATAGCAAACACCAGATCTCAAATGATGCTGATAACAGACTGCATGCTCCTCTGTTTAAATCAGCAGAGTAACAACCTCCAACCACAACAATTTTTTAATACATTTTTTTTTACCTTATGCACACCAAGAGTCCCAAAAGGAAGTGGCTTGCCAGTTTTGTTGTCAATCAAAAGAACTTCTGAATCCAGGATCATACTTTGCGCACCGGGGAAGGCCTGAGGGATGTAGTCCTTAAAATGGGCTACCTTGGGAAAAAAAAGAGAAAAATACATCTGCTGGCTGAAGAGAGGAACTCACTTCAATGCAGCTGCTTTCTCCAGGAGTGTGTCTGAGGCAGGTGCAGGGATATCTGCACTAGCTTTACTTTCTACACTGGTACAGGCAGCAGAGTCTACAAACAGAAAAATGAGTCTTGAAAAAATGTAACCAGGGCACCCAACTGGCATCAAGCCTCCCAAAATGCAGCCCATCAAGAGGACTGTAAGGCAGATAGCCCTACTCTAGTTTTAAGCTCTTAATGCCCACGAAAAACTGATTGACTACAATCCCATTAAGTGTTGCTTTTCCAGGTTCCAAGTATCTACATAAATTAGAAAGAAGTCTCTAACAGCAGGTACTCTCCTTGCCTACAGAACTGTTGTGAAACTCAGTGGTGTTTGCAGAGGAGCTGGCACAACAGATGGGAGAGTTCACGGGTGCTTACTTTGTGTGGGAGGAAAGGTTTGAGGCTCCT